GTACACCTTTTTTGTGCCTAGTCACCAGTATAATTTCTACTGATAGAAAGATGTAGAGAAAAGTGCCCTTGACCTGGAATCAAAGGACCCGGACATTAGACCTGCTGTCAATTACTAGTTCTATAGCAAATCATTTTTGGATCACTAAAATGGGAACGGAAATCTTTGCTCCACCCAATTTGTATGACCTCTGTGATGCTTGAATGAGATAATAATAGATATAAAATGCAATTCAAAAGGAAGGCCTCATAAGGAAGCTCCATAAACAATCAAACAAACATACTACAGGATGCAGATTAATACAGATTTTATTAGGAAAGATCAACTAGGAAGACAATTCAATGGGATCATGAAAGAGGGAAAAGAAGATACAAAAATAATGCACATATCGAAAAAATACAGTAAATACTGGTCATTGTAGAGAGCTAAATATACTGTCATAAGAATTTTTTCTTTTAAAGTGTCATAGAGGCTAAAGGAGATGATTACTTTCCTGAGGCGTAGGCTCTGAATTCATGTCAAGTTCAGACGGACTTGGCCAGCATCTGGTATAATGAGCAAGAGGAAACGCGGAAGAATAACACCGAAGTGAAGTACACTTCATCCCCTCGGCAGATTCACCAGCATAGAAAGAAGACGACAACAACACTCTGTGACAACAACGTTCCGTGTCCGCACGTTGTTTCTCAGCAAAGTTTGGGAGCAAGTTTATTTATTATACTAACAGGCCCTTTGCAAAATGCTTGAGGAAATGTGGTTTTTGGCAGGTCTGTGGCAAGTGGGTCTATAGCAAGCGGATCAGCAGCAGGAAGGTTGACAGCAGCTGGACACGCAGCAGGCTGGGCGGGAGCAGGGCTCCCAGAAGCTGGATACACAGCAGGATGGGCGGGAGCAAGTTGGTTGAGAGCAGGGCTCACAGCAGCTGGATCCAAAGCTCAGGGGTAGGCAACCAGGCAGCCAGACACACGTTGGGTGGTAGCAGGTTCGCCAGCAGTACACGGGGCCAGAGCAAGCTGGCTGGCAGCTGAGTGTGGAGCAGCAACTAGGGCGACAGCAAGGCTGGCAGCAGCTGGACCCACAGGCCGTTTGGCCACCACAGCTGGACCCAGAGAAGGTGGGCCGGCAGCAGGTGGTCCTGCAGCAGGTGGGCTGGCAGCAAGGGGAGCAGCAGGAGCGGGTCATGGTGTCAGGTGTGGAGGGTGGGCTTCTGTTCAGAGGTGAGTTTCCCAAATTCTGAGAACTCCTTCTGTTCTGGGGCTTTTATACACTAGACCCCCAAAGTTGGGACCAATAAGCAGAACTTTTCCTTGTTATTATTTATTATGTTGTTTTTCATGAGCCACAGGAAATTGTCCAAGAAGGAAGTGTTCCCTAAGTATAATGAATCTTCTGAATATAAATGATTGAATTGTTTTCCTAAATGAGAGATAACTCGGAAGAACTTATTTCCAGAAACGGGGGAGGCAGTCAACATCAATCGCATCATTTAACTATGAACCATCATTTTTTAAAGAGAGTGCATCATTTGATCACCTGACAGTTCAAATTAGTTTAGGGAAGAGGACAGAACCATTGTCACCACCTACATTTTTCCCTTGGCACCCCAAAGATTGCTATGCGCCTCTGAAGAAAGAGCATGTTGTTGATGAAACGGTGGTGATGAGTTTGAACCATATTTTAACAGTTTGAAATAAAACCATAGTTTAACAAGATTCAGTCCCTGGGTGGTGCCAATGGTTAATGTGTTCAGCTGCTAACCAAAAGGTTGGAGGTTCAAGTCCACCCAGAGGGGCCTCAGAAGAAAGGCCTGGGGATTTTCTTCTGAGAAATCAGCCATTGAAAATCCTATGGAGCACAGTTCTACTGTGACACATATAGCGTCACCATGAGTCGGAATGGACTCCACAACCAGTTTAGTTTGGTTAACAAGGTTTTTATCTGTCCCACACAAAATCCTGATTCGTGGATAGGTAACACCAGCAGCAGGCACTTGATATCTCCACTTACATATCTTATTTCTTACAACAGGACACTGGGTTCAATTATAATTGACATAATCTCTTCCAAACTGAGCTCCGAATCTGTAGAGAAACTTGATACCAGACCCACCCCCTGGGACACTTACTTACCATTTCAATGAGACAGATTGGCACAGTATCCTCAACAGTGGGCTTAAACACATCAAAAATCATGGAGATGGGGCAGGAGAGGAGCTGACTCCAGTCAACTAACAGCAAGTGGTGAAATGCAGTTACTCTGACAAAGTATTTTTCCCTGAATTGCAGTTGAAAAATGCAAAGACCAATAAGTGTATTGAATACAGGGAAAAAAAGGGACAATGGTCACTCCATCATATGTATCAATGGAGCAAAGGCAGAATAAGGCGCATAACATCTTGGATGCTTAGCAATTTCCCTATTTGGCTAACCTTTTGAAAGAAAGAGCCTCAGAGTGGGCTCCTGATACAGCTTCATTTGCTCTGACTCAAGCTGTGGCTAAGGATTTCTGGTGCTTCTGCTGCTGCAGTATTGTTGGCCTTGGCTGCACAGGTGGCTAATCCCCCGTTTGTAGATCTTGCCAAATAATCTGCTGCTGTTCATCGAGTAAGGAGCCCTCGTGGGGCAGTGGTTAAACCCACCAAAACGTCGGTGGTTCGAACCCACCAGCCGCTCTACAGGAGAAAGGTGGCAGTCTGCTTCTGGAAAGATTACAGCCTTGGAAACTCTATGGACCAGTTCTACTCTGTCCTATCGGCTCGCTACAAGTCGGAACTGGCTTGACGGGGTGGGTAGTAGCAGTAATTCCTTAAGTCAGAAGAGAATCATGTTGGGAAGGGTATTGTTCGCTTCTGTGTCTCTTTGTTGAGAATAGGCTGGGCGCATCGTGGGAATCAATAATTATTGAAAAGGAGAACTAAGTTTGCTAGCTTGAAAACTTGGACTGACAATAACTTGTACTAGGACTGGAGAATTGAGGTATTGGTTTGAAAAAGTGACAGAATGCCCAATTCTATTTTGAACAAGTCACATTTGAAGCCACATGCCTTAAGCCCAGCCCACTGTGCTCCACATTTCTTAGCTTCTTCATTTCACTGCCAGCTGTTTTGCTGTAAATATATTGGGGGTCTGTTTTATTGTGTATTAACATATCTTGTTTGCATTTACCCTAAGTACTGTCCAAACAGAAGGCTAACTCTGCATCAACATCATGCCAAAATCAGTATGTATTTAAACAAGACAAATAGCAAGAAAATGATCCTGGGCATGGCAACAGCAGCTCCTTAACATGCCCCCCAAAACAAACAAACAAACAAAAACCCTGTTGCCGTGAAGTCAATTCTGACTCATAGCACCCCTATATGACAGAGTAGAACACCTGCTGTAATCTTTGTGGAAGCAGACTGCCACATCTTTTTCTCATGGAGCTGCTGGTGGGTTCAAACTGAGGATCTTTCAGTTAGCAGCCAAGCACTTAATTATTGCGCCACCTGGACTCTTTTTAGTAGCTCCTTCCAAAACCAAAAACCCATTGCTGTGGAGCAGCTCCTTAGCAGGGTATAAAAGAGGACTTAGGGGAGGAGACTTTCAAACTTGAGATCTTCACTCCACTGTTGCTAGGCAGAGAGAGAAAGAAGAGATTAGTGAGGGATCAAGATCCTGGATGAGGCTGAGGGGTGGAGGTGGGGTGGAACTTGAAGATACAAATAAAAGGTGACTTTGAAATGAGACATTTGAAAAGACAAGACATTTTAGTAACAATGCAGGTGAGATGGCAGTCCCTGACAGCCTTGGTTTCCTTCATAATGACAAACTAAACAACAATCACTCCAGCAGTGGTGATTATACTTAGCATTCATTGAGTATTTAACATGTAAAGACGGTACTGAATTCTTCATAAGCATTATCTCTTAATCCTCACAACACTAAGGCTGGTACTGTCAGTATTCCCATTTAAAAACACAGAAATGGGGCTTAACGAGGTTCAACAACTTGTCTGAGGTCACCGACCAAGGTGTCAGTGGGGCTGTACTGAATCCAGGTCTGACTGCCAAACTCATGTTCTTCTCACCCCTGCATCCCATAAAGCTGGAGGTTATGTTATTCTTGAGTGCTGTAGATCAAGATACTAAGAAGGGTAGACATAATTTGAAATTGAGCTATGAAAAATGTGAAAATGAATCAATAAGACAGGGACAACTGATTCACTGAACAACTGAAAAACTTGAAACTTGAAGAATTGCTTGACCAGTTCTTGGGCCAGTGGACTGGCCTCTTCTAGCCCCCATTTGCACACATCCAAATAATATCAGCTCTGAAAGGTCAGTTCAAATGCTGCCTCCTTCCTAGCATTTTCCCAGATCCCTCCACCCAACTGTTGACCGCTCTTACCTATTAATCCTCTAACATTTTATTTGAAATTTTCTTATGGTCCATTGCACTTTAACCTTGGAATAGAGTTATTTATTTATGTGCACATTCTATCTCTTTTAGACAGCAGATTCCTGCTACAATGCCAAGCGATGTTAATGGTTTACCTCTATTATTATTTCTAATTTTCTCAGTTACTCATCAAGGTTGGCATTATCATTTTCATTTTATAAATGGGAAAACAGAGGTGGAGAGTAATTAGTACACATGTCCAATGCCATAGGATGGCTGAATTGTAATCAGGTCTCTCTGATTACAACATTCTTGTTCCTTCCATTTCCCCAAAATACAATGTATTTGGTTAACACCAATTAAATTTTTGTTCAATAAATGACTTTTTGGCTCTAGACATAATCTTGTCTAACCTGTCAGCAGTTGACTCATATCCATGTGGGCCCTTTGAAAGGGGCTCTCCATTTCATGGACTCATGGGTGATGACACAGAAGAAAGAGTGACCACATTAAAGAACGATGATAGGTCATCACAAGATAAACATGTAGCAGAGGCACAGGCACACACCAAAGTGTCTTCCCTAAAACAATGTGAAACACAGAGGAGGATTTCAGGAAAAAAAATGACAACTTGGATAAAGCCACCCAGAAGGAAATCACTTCTTCCATCAAATGCAGGGCACTCAGTATAACTGCCTAAATTCGACAGATGCTTTTCAAATCTAATAAACAATAGTTAGGAAATAATGTACAATTCAACAGAATATTCAAATATTCTTTCATCTGTAGTGGCCTATCAAATGACAGTTTCAGCAATATGAAAACTGTTCTCTAGTGGGAGTTATTTTCTATGAATGCATAGGAGAGAATGTGCAGCTAATAGGCAGAATCTGACTTGTCACAGAAGGGAAGAGTGGCTGAAGAATGAGAAATAATCAAGGACCAGAAGTAATAGTGCCATTACCTCTCTCCCACGCACCCCCAAAATGGCAGGGAGGGCACAACTAATCTGATTTTTTAGATTAAAAATGTACACAGAAAACACATTAGGGATAGAATATATTTCCTTCATTAGATTCATAATATTTCACAAGAACAATCCATTTGTAATTATTTGTCATTGAAGATAAGCAGTGACAAAGAAAGAGTCCTGCATATGGTAACGGCAGTCCCTCAGCAGACTACACAAGAGGATATGGGGCAAAGAGACTTTCAAAACAAACAAACAATGCTCCCTCTCTGGAAATTACAACCAGAGCCTCAACCTACTGACAATATGAACAACTCCTATTATGGTTCTGTCACCTCTCACCAAAGCTCTAGCAAAGGTCTCTGGCAAGAGACCGGCTGTGTCCCCAGGTGCTGCCAGAACACCTGGTGCAGAACGATCTGCTAATGCCCCTCCTGCTGCACCTTCAGCTGCTGCTGCCTGGTCTGCTGCCAGACCACCTGTTGCCACAATACTTGCTCCTATCCCAACAGCTGTGGACCTTTTTCCTACTAAACTTTATCCTTGACTATGAACCAAGCTCCAGTCAACACGATGTCAATGGTAATGTAAGCAATGGGTTCTTCCCTGGTCTTGCACTAACCTACCCTGATTTTTACTAATGACTTCTATCATATAACCTGTTGCTGTTGTTGTGTGCCATCAAGTTGCTTCTGACTCATAGGGATCCTACAGGACGGAGTAGAACCCATAGGGTTTCCAATGAACGGCTGATGGATTCGAACTGCCGACCTTTTGGTTAGCAGCCTGAGCTCTTAACCACTTCTCCATCAGGTCTCCTAGCATATGACCTAGCAACTCTTAATAAAGCATAAATCTATATACTAATAACTGAATAAATCTCTCATCTCCAAGCTATCTCCCCTGCCTTGAAACAGAGGACCAAACATCCCTAAACAAAATGGCCATAGAACTGTGGCCCAATTAGACCAGAATTCTAAGCCTATCATACTTGTACTTGATCTTGATAGTGACTTCTTTGTGTTATCTTCAAAAATATTAACTTTCTTATTTTCATAGGCACTTGGCTTACACTTAAACTAAGTGTAAGAAACTGTTATAAATACACGGGAAAATGATAAATCCACAATCATAGCATAGACTGTAACACACTATTTCCAAAATGGTCATTTGAAGAAGAAAAATAAATAGGGTTAACAGAGAATTTTAGTAAGACTTAGATGTAGTGGATATTTATATGCAATCTTATGCCTAACAAATCGGGAATTCCCATTACTTTCATATACACCTAGAATATTCTCAAAATATATCAGTTTACAAAGAAAATTTCAATCAATTCTAAACGATAGAAATAATATGAGACCTTTTTCTCTGACCATAACACAATGAAATTGGACATCAATAGCAGGAAAATAGCTAGCCAAAAGTGTTCTTATAGCCTGCCTTCTTTCACTCCCTCCAGAATAATTCAGCCTAAAAGGAAATGTGGTATCTGTGTGGGGTAGGGATGACCTATTTTGCCTTAAAAGTGTACTTCATTTCTTTTTTATTGAAATTATTTTACTTATAGAAAAATGGCAAAAAGATTTCAAAAATGAGCTCGGGACCATGGTCTTAGGGGACGTCTAGCTCAATTGGCATAAAATAGTTTGTAAAGAAAATGTTCTACATCCTACTTTGGTGGGTAGCATCTGGGGTCTTAAAAGCTTGTGAGCACCCATCATAGATACTACACTGGTCTCACCCTGTCTGGAGCAAAGGAGAACGAAGAAAACCAAGGACATAAGGGAAAGATTAGTCCAAAGGTCTAATGGACCACAATTACCACAGCCTCCACCAGACTGAGTCCAGCACAACTAGATGGTGCCCAGCTACCACCACCGACTGCTCTGACAGGGATCATAATAGAGGGTCCTAGACAGAGCTGGAGAAAAATGTAGAACAAAATTCAAACTCACCATAAAAAGACCAGACTTACTGGTCTGACAGAGACTGGAGGAAACCCCAAGAGTATGGCCCCCAGACACCTTTTAACTCAGGACTGAAGTCATTCCTGAGGTTCATCCTTCAGCCAAAGATTAGACAGGCCTCTAAAACAAACAATAACACACACAGTTCAACCATGTATATGAGACTAAATGGGCACACCAGCCCTGGGGCAAGGACAAGAAGGCAGGAGGGGATAGGAAAACTGGATGAATGGATCTTCTTGTTGAGCCTCATATCTGACAATCAACCAAGAGCTGGCCACCCTCTTATCAACATAAAAGTGTCATTCATATGAACTTTTCCCTGTTTTAAACAGCCCCTACCTTCATTATCCTGTTATACCAGTAAGCAACTGGTCAAAGGCAACCAATCTACACTGAATACCACTTATCTCTCCCACGAACCTCTTCTTTGCATTCAGTCCTCAGATAAACGATGCAGTGAACAAAGTCCCTGAGTCCACGATTGTTATGCTTGTCTTGACCTTCACAGTTACTTAACTCTTTCTCAATAAACTTTACCTTGATGTCAGACATTGTTGTGTAATTAATTATCTTTGAGAGTTGATTGTCAGCTTTCCCCCACTAGCATTATTTCTTTCAAGATGAAGAAAAGTTTGGGTTTCTGTGGCCAGGAAAGAAAATTGATTTTGCAAATATTACCTAATGCCTGTATTGTAGACAGGCCTTCTTTATATATTGTTCAAAATAAGATAATTCACCTTACTTGTCTTATTCAGGCAACAAAATTATTGATCCCTTGCCAAGTCTATTGCACCGTTGGGCTCTGGGAATCATATCTAGATACGTGAACCACAGTTCCTTCCTATAAGGAGCTCACAATCTAATCTTGGAAATAAGAGGAAGGTCCAAGGCAAGTAGAATATTTTGGGTACTATTGATCCTAAGTGGGGAATTCCTGTTTTGGAGAAAGTTAATATAGGAGGAATAATTTTTAGAAACAGAAAAAGTTAAGTCAGTAAATTCAGGGGAAATGTACACATCCATAAAATAAAGAGGAGGCAGAGGAGACAAGGAAGTAGTATTTGCATTCTTGTGATGACTAGAGTAGATGAGCCAAAAAAAAGTTGCAGTTGTTGTTAGCTGCTGCCGAGTCAGCTCCGACTCATGGTGACCACATGTACAACAGAATGAAACATTGCCTGGTCCTGCACCATCTTCACAATCATTGTTGCAGCCACTGTGTATTTTGAGCACCTTCCACATAGGGGGCTCATCTTCCAGCACTATATCTGACAATATTCCGTTGTGACCCACAGGGTTTTCATTGGCTAATTTTTGGAAGTGGATGAGGTCTTTCTTCCTAGTCTGTCAGTCTGGAAGCTCTGCTGAAACCTGTTCACCAATGGTGACCCTGCTGGCATTCGAAATACTGGTGGCATAGATTCTAGCATCACAGCAACATGCAAGCCACCACAGTGCAACAAACTGACAGACGGGTAGTGGCATTTTAATGATACTATACTAAAAAGGTCATAAGCAAATGAGGAGAATATTAGTCAGAGGTGGAGTCACATGCGGACAAGTAAACACCCTCTTTGGGGAAGATTTAGGGAGGAGGAAGAGGGTCTGAATGGCAGACAAGGATGAGTTTATAAGAGGGAAGGATTTAGGTCGTGCCTCAAAGCTGTGCACTAAGATTGCATTCTTGAGACATTCTTAGATCCTGCAGGTCTCCTATATCTCAAGCAGACTTGGTCATGTTCAGGTAAGTAAACCAAATGTCTCCTGCAGTCACATCACTTCACTTGTCTTGTCTGATGCCACTTCCACAGGAAAAGAAGGTACTTGAGTAGGAGCAAAACAAGGCAACAGAATAAGGCAATTATCATATGAGAGGGGCCAAGAAAACACTATAGCATTCTAAAATGGGGAGACTATGTCTTTTTTAGCAATGATCATTAATATGAAAAATCGTAAGCTATGGATAGGAGTGAAACAGGCAGTGATCCAGAAATGTCAAGTTGAAGGACAGATGCAGTGGAAAGCCACTGAGAATGACTGGTCAGCCATGCAGCTTACGGATATGGTAGTATGAAGTTAAAGCTAGAAGTACTGACAGATTTCTAACTTTGATGGGTTTGATAGCCACAGTAATGAGTTTATACTTAAATACTACAACTGTCAAAATGTGTCTGTGATGGGCAAAGCAAATTGTCAAGACATGTTATCCATTCTGGCTCCACTCAGCTCAAGGCAGTGTTGCCATTGACCGCTCACCATGCCAAGTGACTTTAAGATACACGGTCTCCTCCAGTGGAGCCTGACACTCTGGCAGCCATTTGATTATTTCTTATCCGTTCTTTAGCAGTTACCTTTCCTTTTGGAAGTACAAATTAATTGTTTCCCAGATTTTTGAGAGAATCTCTATTCCATAACCAAATAATATCAATAGGCCCAAGAGATGAGTCCTTTAGTTCTAAGCAAAGTTTAGTTGAAAGACGAAAAATATAAAACAAACAAAAAAAAAATCAAAAAACAAATTAAACAATTTCAGATATCAACAGGGCAATATGGCATTAGTATCTTAAAGAATATCACAACCTTAAATTTAGTGTTTTATTATTAGTCACTTATCCTAACACAGTAATTAATGTCTCATGAAGGTTCTCATTTCAACATTCCTCCCTAGTTAACTGGAGCCCTGGTGGCGCAGTGGTTAAGAGCTTGGCTGCTAACCAGAAAGACTGGCAGTTCGAATCCACCAGCTGTTCCTCAGAAACCCTATGGGGAAGTTCTACTCTCTCCTATAGGATTGCTATGAGTCGGAATAGACTCAATGGCAATGGGCAACTCTAGATAACACACACACACACACACACACACACACACACACGTCTCTCTCTCACACACACATCTGTCTCAAATTGCAAGGATAGAGAAATCTGTTAAAGCTATCTCAGTACAATTGTGATTTTGTTCCTTTATTTCTAACAGTTTGTAGTACATAAAAATATTCCCATTTGTTCTTTATAATTTTGTATTTTAATTCCATTACTCCTTATATACTAATCTCATCAGTCAAGAAAAAGAGTATTTCCGGTGCCACTAGAATTCCTCAAGTTACCGTTTTATAGCCACACTCTACCTCCTCCTTAACTCCTGGCAACCATTGATCGGTTCTCCATTTCTATAATTTTGTCATTTCAAGAATGTCATATAAACAGAATCATACAGTAGGTAGTCTTTTCAGATTGCCTTATTTTCACTCAGCATAATTCTCTGGAGATTCATCCAGGTTGTTTTATGTATTAATAGTGCCTTCCTTTTTATTGCTGAGTAATATCCCATGGTATGGATGTACCAGTTTTTTTAACCTTTCACCCACTGAAGGGTATCTGGGTTATTTCCAGTCTTTGGCTATTATTAACCAAACTTCTATAACTAGCGTAGTTACTGAATAAATGATTAAACAGAATGACCCAAAATTATAAAATATTTTTTATTATAAAAGAAAATATATTTTAACACCAAAAAGGCAAAAAGGATATGATATATATCAGAATAAAAGGGTTTTTCTAAATTGAGTAAATTAAGTTATATAAAAAAATATACCTTATTCTTATTTTCTCTCATTTAACTTCATGATTATGAAAACATTGTCACAAGCTGGACCTAGATCATAGATCAGTATTTGGAAACCATTCTTCTAGAGTTCTGTTGTATAAAGTGGCACAAAATCACTATGAAATAATATTTCTTATAGGTGCCAATGGGGCAAAATTAAAGAGCTTCCATGAACATAAAAATAGTCTTCCGAAAGTTAGTTATAAATTATCTCTGGTTTAGAGCCCAACCCACTGCCATCAAGTTGCTTCTGACTCATAGTGACGCTGTAGGACAGAGTAGAACTGCTCCATAGAGTTTCCAAGGCTATAATCTTTACAGAAGCCGACTGCTACATCTTTCTCCCATGGAGTGGCTGGTGGGTTCAAACCACTGACCTTACTACCAGTTAGTAGCCAAGCACTGAACCACTGTGCCACCAGGGCTTCTTTGGCTTACAGCTGGGTAAGAGCAAATTAAAATCTGAGGCACTTAGTTTGTGGAAGGCTATGGCTTACAGCTAGAGCCCTGACTCCATCTTGAGCTTTGATATAAAATCAGTTTCTATTTTACTGTTTGTTAAGTTACTTCTTTAATGCTTGCTGCTAAGCCACTTAACATGGTAAAAAATCCATCTTGGCTTCTTGAACCTTGTCTGGAACTTAGTTCTGCTTTAAAATGTTTTACAACTCGTTCCAGGGAAACTTACTAAAACCTGTCTTTGATAAAGTATCAACCAATTGGAAGTAAGAAACAAATTCATTGTGGTTTTTTTCCTCAAGCTACTTAACATGTTTTGGTATATTCATAGTTTTTCCTGTAATTCCTATTAATATGCATGACTTTTACTGTAACTGTTTAACATATATCCAATCAGAGTGCGATTATTACAATACTCACTGATTTTCCTGTAAATGCTTAGCACATGGATTAGTTAGTTCCTCTTTCTACCCCATAAGTATACCGCTGCAACTGCCCTACCTTGGACTGCTTGGTTCCATTTTCAATGGGCTATGCAGCTCCCCAATTGCAACTACCTTGAGCCTTAATAAATCTCTTTACTTTTCATTTCAAACAGTGCCTGAGTTTTTATGCTCGTTCACAGAGCAGAGAAATGCAAAACCATACACAGGGAGAGAATGACTCCAAAGAGGCAGTCTTGAATTAAGATATTGATATGCCTAAAATATTTGTTTGCTCATGAGAAAAGGGAGCATGTCCATACTGGATGTAGGAACCAAGGGCAGAGTTTGAAATATGAATATACTGTCCAAAGATATGCACTAAAAAGGAGTTACCCTAAAGCTGTGGCTTCTAAACCCAGCTTTTAATCCAACATTAAAAAAAAACAAAAAACCAAACTCGTTGCCATGGAGTCAATTCCGACTCATAGTGACCCTATAGGACAGAGTAGAACTAACTGCCCCATAGGGCTTCCAAGGAGCTGCTGTTGGATTCGAACTGCTGACCTTTCAGTTAGCAGCTGAGTGCCTGATCATTGTGCCACCAGGGCTCCAATCCAACACAGTCGTTTAAAAATTTTTGCTTTTAAATAAGAATTGCATTTATACAGATATTCGAAAAATTTGAATAATGCACAGTTTCTTGTACACTTAGTAGGATATTTTTATGCTTCAGTTTTTCATATGGCTGGAGTACTTCCTCAAGTAATTTTACAGAAAAGGTACATACATAGTATACTTTCTGGCTCCTTGCATGCCTGGAGATACCTTTCTTTGGCCCTTTCATATGAATAGTTGTCTGCTTGTGGTATAAATGATTAGCTGTCTACCAAAAATTCCTTCTTCCTCTTCTATTGTGTAGAATTACCCCTGGGAAGTAGAAATGACTTTCAATTTTTTTTTCATGATAACTCTTCAGAAAATTCAAGACGTGAATGCAAAGAATATTTGGAAGGAAAAAATAATTTTAGAAATACAAAGTATATTTTGAAATTTCACAGTTTAAAACAGAGGAAGTGAAATTATAATATATCCTAATCTAAACTAAATCAGTGATCTAGAGAAATAAAAATATACCCACTCCTCACTTATCGACATGATTAGGTTCCAAAGACCAGGTCATTATGTGAAAATTGGCATTAGTGCACCTTCCTCAAGGGCACTGTGAATCAGTGAAATACCTGAGAATTGCAGGTAACAAGCAGACAGAGGCATGCCTCCCTATATGCCAGGTAACCATGTGGCTAACGTCAGTAACCACTCTCATCCAGCTGCAAGGTTGTTTGTCTTTGACCCCACAAGCTCCAACAGAAATCATGATTTCCTCCTCCCGTGGTTTCCTCACTACGTCTTTGGTCTTTTCTGCCTCATTGTAAAAATAAATGGCTTATTATGCCACTTTTAACAGAGTCCCACTCCTGTTTCATCTTCTTGAGAAGACAAAGTCTCTAGTGCATTTGCCTCAGCAAGGAGTTGGAAGAGAAGGTCATGGCCATGGACTCTCCCTGCCACCTTCCCAGAATTTCCTGGGCAGCTTATTAAAAATATAGATTTATTGGTTGCACTACTGGGGATTTTATAATTTGGTTTTGGTTATTTATTACTTGGTTGTTTCAGAAAGAAGGGATACGATAATTTCACGCACAATCTTGGTTCCTAAAGAGAGTGATACTGCCAGGAAAAATAGGTTAATGACATGAGGAAATAACGCCAAAATGCATTGCTTGGGATTTCTTTCCCTAACTCACTAATTACCAGCCGGCACCTAGAGCCGTCCCCTTTCTCATTGCTCAAGAGTGACCCACAGCGGTGGGCCTTCTCCTCCTCTTCCCAAGCCCTCATTCCATCATTCTGAAATGGGAGTGATTTCATTCCCATTGATATTCCTCAGCTGCAGTCCCAACTGCTGTGTGTTGAATCATGATTGAAAAAGGAACATCTGGATAATAGTAACAAATTGTCAGCCACATGATAGCCAATTGGAGAAGAGAGCTGCCTTCTTGAAAATTAGATGATACACACAAGGAAGAAACAGGAGAGTTGATTTGGAAGGAAAGATTAGACTCAATATACATCATAGAAAGGAAAGATGCAGCCTATTTAACTTTTGCAAGAAAAAAAACACCTATAACTATCTAATTTGATAATTGCTTATCTACCAGGATAACAATAACAAGGAAGAAGCTCCCTCAAAGGGGTATAAAAGGGGATCTAGAGCTGCGAGACTCCCAAACTCTAGAACCTCACTTTCCTGAAAACAGCCAGAACCCTCACCCTCCGACACAGTGGTCAACTCCTGTTCCGGCTCTGTCTGCTCTGACCAGGGCTGTGGCCTCTGCCAGGAGACCTCCTGTAGCCCCAGCTGCTGCCAGACCCCCTGCTACCGCCCCAGCTGCTGTGTGTCCAGCTGCTGCCACCCTAGCAGCTGTGTGTCCAGCTGTTGCCGTCCCAGCTACTGTGTGTCCAGCTGCTGCCGCCCCAGCAGCTGTGTGTCCAGCTGTTGCCGCCCCAGCAGCTGTGTGTCCAGCTGTTGCCGCCCCAGCTTCTCTGTGTCCAGCTGCTGCCATCCCAGCAGCTGTGTGTCTAGCTGCTGCCAACCCAGCTGCTGCCGCCCCAGCTGTTCTGTGTCAAGCTGCTGCCGCCCCAGCTGCTGTCATCCAGTCTGCTGCCAGACTACCTGCTGCCGTACCACCTGCTGTCACCCAAACTGCTGTGGGTCCTCTTGGTAAACTTCATTCATGACCACCACTTCTGAGTCAACTACTATGATGCCAATTTATCAGTCTTATTCATATTTCCTTTCTTCACAGCACCTGGCCTTGTTCTAAACTGTCACTATGTTTATTCATCCCCTTGGTCATGCTACCAAGCCACTATTTAAAAAGCAACAATTTAAACTAACAACCACACAAAACCTCTAAGTTCTATGTCTATTGCCCTGGCATTCATTCAGATGCCAAATGTCTACACTGCTCAGAGGGAAACGTTGCTAATCTATCACTGCTGTGCGTGGCTTGACCTTCACAGTAAATTATGTGTAACATAGTAACTGTGTCTCAATAAATATTTACTATCTTGGTATCAGAAACGTTTGTGGTCCTTAATTACTTTTTAGCGTTGATTGCTTATTTGGAGTTAAGTTTGGGTTTCTGTTATGTGAACAAAGAAAATTGATTTTGCAAAAATAAAACCAAAGCCAAATAATTTTTCCCCAAACCAGACTGCCCATCTTACTAGCTATCAAGTTTACTGAGAGAAAACAAGAACTTTGTTGCTTCTATAATGATTTACGGATCACCTGGCAGCGTCCTCGCACTACTGGGTTCTGAGGAGCACATGGGAAGAACGAGACCCAGTTTCCATTCCTTAGGAAACTCACAATGAGATCTTGGATTTAAGAGGAAGGAATACGTCAGGTAGAGTATGTTGGTAATATTGGTAAGAAAGAGAAGAGTATTGGATAAGAGTAATATATAAGGACTGATTTACAGAAAAAAAATGTGTCAAGTCTGAAAATTCCAGGAAATATGGACAGCTCAAAAACACACAAGACAAAGTGAAAGAGAGGATCAGAGGACAGAAGAGTGTTACATTTTGAAGATAATTTTTGTAAAAAAGGTACCAGACAACATTATAGTCATTTTAAGGAAGAGGGTTTATCAGGATAAATTCGTGGAGTGGGACTAATTATGATAGAACCTATGTGAAGACAGGACCTAGGGATTTCAGACTGAAGTTAAAGATGCAGTAGGAAACCAGTGAGTATGATGGATGATGTCACATGTCTTAGGCTGGATTCTCTAGAGAAGAAAAAAAGTATATATATATATATAGCTTATAAATATATATATATATATATAGAGAGAGAGATTTATATCAAGGAAATGGTTCATGCAGTTGTAAAGGATGGAAAGTCCCAAGTCTATGGGTCACGGTGGGTCAGGGTGGAGGCTTCTCTGACTCATGTAGCTGCAGGGGCTGGAAAACCTAAGATCAGCAGGTCAGACAGCAGGCCTCTGGCTCACAGGCTGCAGAGGCAGACGAATCCCAAGATCAGCAGGTAAGCTGCTAGCTCAAGTCCCAAGAACCGGAAGTCAGATGAACAGGAGTCAGCTGCAGGATCCAGAGTGAGCAAAAGCCTGAGAGCTTTGCCAGAGAGTCCACCTATATTGGATGCATGTCACACCCCCAAGGAAACTCCCTTTCAACTGACTGGCTGCTCCTAAGAGATCTCACCATGGAAGTGATTACATTATATCATACCTCATTATGGAGATGATTACATCATTACATAGCTGCCAAACTATATTATAACTGCCAAACCACTGAGAATCATGGCCCCGCCAAGTTGACACACAAACTTAACCATCACAATACTTATGGTAAGGAAAGCAATAGAAGTTAAGTTGGTTATGCTAGTTGGGTGCTATTTTTGAGGGCATGGATCGACACTGTTGGGGGAATGGTTTGCTTCTATGCCACCCATCCAGGCTGCCTGAGGTAAAGGCCTTGGGCCCAGAACATTCTCTGATAAGGAGGCTGGAAGTCTGGTCACTGTCTGTCTCCCAGTTCCTTCTCCTTATCAGAGAAGCCTTCCTCCTGTTCCAGGCACACAGGAAATTTTTCTGTCTCTTGCACATGTGCAGGCACCACATGGTGCTTGGCCAACCCCACTTCTATATCTCTTTCCATCAAGGAGGGAACAGGGTCTCTTGTACTACAGCACAAGAGAGACGAATGTAGAAAACCTGCCCTGCATAGGCTGTATGCAGGATGAGCCTGCTGGCCATGGGAGACCAGTGCCGACTAGTAAAGCTAATCTCGCTCTGTCTCTTCTCTATGTGAGAAAACCATTTCCCATGCACTGTTACAGCATGTGTGTGGGCCTCTGCTGGCAATTCTGAACCCTGCCACGACAGACACATTAATGACATTCATTCATTCATGCTCCATTAAACTCCAGTAGTAGGGTTTTCATGCACTTCTAACTATGAGGCATGCAAAAAATACTTTTGTGCCCACTTAATAAGATCTGGCATGAAGTCATCCAGCTGCCTGTCTCCTCTATAACTCTGAAATTCCCTTTACCATTGGGAATTCAGTTTAAGTTGGACTTCCTATGTCTTTTTAAGAGTTTCCCTTTCCCTCCTAAGGGAGATCAATAGGTTCAAGAGCTAAACATTTTAGGACTAGGCAAAAGCTTTTAGTTGGAAAAGATAATAAAAAAGGGAAACAAAGACTGCACAAAACTAAAATAGCATATTCGTAAATTAGTAATGTGGTACAAGAATCATATCACTGGATTCAAGTTTCACTCCTAGATTTATTCTAAGACAGTAACTGCTCTTCAAAGGTCATTTCTCACTGCAGTATTCCTCAAGTGCCTAGGCCTGAGAAATGTGTTAAAGCCTCAAGCTATTATGCCTGCTATATTGTTTCCATATTTCAAAACTGTTTTTGTTTTCTTATGCTATGCTATATATGCTATACTATACGGCACATAAACATTTATGATTATTTTATCTTACTTTTTATATTTTTCCCTTTTATTACAATAAAATATAAGTATATTATCCAATTATTGTTTTTGGCATTTGTCTTTTGGATTGCTCTTGTATTTATGTTTGAGCTTTCTTTGCTGATTTTTATCCTCTACTATTCTAGAATATATTTGAATCCTTAAATTTTACAGTTTCTTCTCTTGGTACCAATTTTTGTAAGCCCATCTACTGCATAGTGGAATTCTTTATTTTGATTCATTTCTCAGTTGGTTGGAGTACTTCTTAAAATAATTTCAAAGGAAGTAATAAGTCATGAGTCCTTGCAAATCTTTCCATGTCCCTCACACATTACAGATAACTTGTATGGATTTACAATTATAATTTACAATTATGGATTTACAATTATTCACAAACTTTTCCACCTCAGAACATTGTAGATGAAAGCAAAATATCTAAAAATAAAATTATCCATGCAATATAATCTAACATTGGAAGAAAGGCCTGGTGATCTACTTCTGAAAAAAAATCAGCCATCGAAAATCCTGTGGAGCACAGTTCTACACTGACGCACACGGGGTCGCCATGAGTCAGAATTGACTCTACAGCAACAGGTTTTTGTCTTTTTTTTTTGTAATACTCTAACACGTTACGGATGCACAGAGAAAGAGACTCTCGCTAACATCTGGAGCATGAGTAACTAACTGGTTGACTTCAGAGAAGGCTCTATGGTGGAATATATATATCAACTGCTAGGCTTAATTCTAAAAGTTTAGAAGTAGTAGGTCTTTAAGACATCACAAAATAAACTGTTTATGCCCCCTTATCATTTCTGAATTCATCATTAACAAACAAACAAGGGGAATGAAGAAGTAGAAACACAAATTCTGTCTTCTTAGGACAGGAGACAATAGCAGGTAAGAAATGGCAACACATTTTTGAAGGGAGAAGTGGCGACTAACTTAACAGAGCAAAAGGAAGGGTGCAAACAGAATACTTCTGAGTGTAAAGCTGATTTTCCTTGATGACTCAGAAAGACTGCAGGCACCAGAAATATCGAAGGCAGGGTGAAGCAAGAGAGCTGATAGGCCCCTAGGATCCCTTGTCCACCCTGCACAGTCAGGTCAGCCCTCTCCCACTTCCCATCACGAAACCAGAGGTTTTTCTCTCAAGAATTTAATGAGAGAAGCTCCACGTCTGGGGACACTGCAAGGGACAAAGTGAAGTATGGGACCAAAAACAGGGCGATGAAGTGAAAAATTGAGCATTGTGCTCAGCTTCCAGGGCTCTGACGGCCAGGCATAAGCCTTCCCAGCAGCATATTGGAAGATTCTTCTCTAAAGAAGATGAAGGGACTCAGAGAAGAGTTATATAGCCTGACAATTTTTTGGTGGTAAGGAAGGGAGAGGTGAAGATCAAATCGTGAAGCCCACCAATGGACAAGTTCCACCATCCACATAGAACTTTCAACTGGCTTTTTAGTGACATATTATTAAATACGCAGCAGGCATTTGAGAAACGTCTCCAGCCTGACATGTTGGGACCAAATTAAAAACAAACAAATAAACATAAAGGGGAAAAAAAGCAATTTGGCAAAAATAGAAAATGCATGAAGTAGAATAGAACTAAAAAATTACAAAACCAGAGACTATAAATACTATCCTCAAAGAAATGAGAGAGGAAACCGCATCTGTGAAATAAGAACAAGATTCTATAAAAAAGGAGCAGTCAGAGGCACAGAATAAAATCATCTGCTTCTCTGAGAATTAAGATTTGATAGACAAAATTAGAAAACAGTTCAGTAAGATAAAGTAGAAGAAATAAAAGAAATGGACAGAATTAAAGAAAATACAATGACAAAGAACATCTATTCGGGAGCTCTACCACACAATAAGGGGGGGCAGTGGTGGTTCAGTGGTAGAATTCTTGCCTTCCATGACGGAGACCTGGGTTCGATTCCTGTCCAATGTACCTCAAGCACAGCTACCACTCATTTGTCAGTGGAGGCGTGTGTGTTGCTATGATGTTGAAAAGGTTTCAGCAAAGCTTCTAGGCTAAGATGGACTAGGAAGAAAGGCCTGGTGATCTATTTTTGATGAAAATGCTATAGAGCCCAAAGGTCTGATTCTGTTGTGCATGGACTTGGCACAGTGAGAGGCCAATTTGACAGCAGCTGACAACAATACCACCACCACATAATGAAGAGAAAGCCTAGAAAAAGAGTGAAGAGAAAAGAGAAGGGGAACATTATCACAGAAATAGCCTAGGAAAACTGAGGATGGACCTTTTTCTTCTCATCCTGAACCCACATCCCATCCTCTTAAGTGGTCAACAGAAAAGAGTCCTCCATGAGTAACACTGCCTACATTAACTCATGATGTGATACACACAGAGCGGAGAGGAACACACAGAACCACTGAAAACAAGCTATCACCTGAAAGCCAATTAGACAAGGAAGTTCCAGCCTTGAAATTAGATAATATCCATAAAGAAGATACAAAATTTGTGACTCAGGAGCAAAACAAGACAGATACATCCTAAAACATCAGGGAGAAGAATATATTCTATCTAAATTTATAATAATAATGCAATTTTAATTTGCTAAATCTGTAACTTGATAATTGATTATGTACTAGGGAAACAGTAACAAGGAAAGAGTATTGCACATGGTAACAACTGTCTCTCAGCTGGGTATAAAAAGGACAATGTTGCAAGGAGATATCAAACTCAGGAATGCATTCATCTGGAAACTTACCCAGAACCTCTACCCTCTGACACCGTGGTCAAATTCTGTTGTGGCTCCTTCTGCTCTGACCAGGGATGTGGTCAAGGCCTCTGCCAGGAGACCTGCTGCCACCCCAGCTGCTGCCAGCCCACCTGCTGCGGTACCACGTGTTGTCGCCCCAGCTGCTGTGGATCCTCTTGTTGCTGAGTTCCCCATTCCACACCTACACCTTCCCCTTCAACATTCTCCTCACTGAATCAGGAGCTTCTTTCTTCCAGGGCACTAGGGCACAGAATCCTGGCTGAGCCAGTCCCAAGGGCTCTGTGTCTAATCTCTGTATTCTTTCCCACACTGGCCGTAAGTCTCCTGGGTATAATGATTACTCACTCTGAGCCTCTCTCTAATTGTCCAATAAAAGTCCTAGATTGTTGTCCTCCCCCAGCATCCAGACGTCTTCTATTTATTCAAAAAGAAGGAAGCTATTGGCCAGGCTTATGTGAACATGGATAGTTATCTAAATTCTCAGACTTTATTGTTGACACTTTCTCAGCTTTTTCTCTTAGGGTGATTTTTCTATGTCTGTTTTTTTCTGTTTGATTCTACTTTTCTGTTTCTGAGTACACAAATAAAATTGACTTACTATTCATTCCTTCTCATGTGTTCATAACTAGATTACGAATGATAGGTTTTATATACAGATGCAGACAAGAATTTAGACCCAGTCACAACATAATAGACTTTCCAAACCAACATGCCTCAGATAGCACAAAACAAACTCGTCTTATCGATCTTTTAATGAACCGGCAATGCTCTGTTCTTTCTAGTCACCCTGGCTTGAAGAGAACAGCAACCATGTAGACAACAGCTGTGGAAAGCTTTTGGGAAGAGTTGTTCTCCATTCATGTACCAAATGAAGACTTCATTCCCATTCTAGTGTTTGTGTCTTCAAGTGATAAAAGCTACAGAGCAACATTCATGTCTCCTGCCCCATCAGTGGTGCTTTGTGACACTTCAGCATCCCCAAAAGTATGCATCACTTGGGGGTGGAAAACTCATTTGCCTTCTATTACTCTTGATAATGACATTTCTGCTGGACTCACTTTTTTCCACAGCACATTTTCCCTCATAATGAGATCACCCAATCACAAGGATATTGCACTTCACAAGGCCACGGTGGACTCACCTCTAGATTGCTGCTTTCAGCGCAGTACGTTTGGGGGGATTGGCTATATGCATCGACCTAGCATACTGGTGCCTCTTTTTCAAAGTAACATTGAATCATGACTCAAATAAATTATTGTATCCACCTTGACTAGCTCTTTTCGTTAGAGCAGTAGTTTTCCAAATGAGCTACTTGGAGTTTCACGGAAGTACCTCAAAAGCTGCTGGACTGTGGTTGAGAGCTGGACCCCTCCCTCCTTCATTTTATCTGACTGCCGCATGGTCAGTTTCTGGGTGAGGGAGAATTTTTAAAAAGTTAAAAAAAAAAGCTTAGAAATCATTAAGTTAAAACAAGAAATTCACAACAATATGAATATTGTGAATAAAACAGTAAGAAGGTAGCATAAGTAGAAAAAAAGTAGATGAGAAATGTTATATTTGAAATACTAGTACAAAAAGAACATCACAGTGGCAAAAATCCACAATTCTTCCCTGGTTTATGGGTTTTTCATTGAGTTCTATTGAAGTAAGGATTAAAACTCATTGCAATCTGATATTCCTGATACTGCTTCTCTACATGAATCAGAATTACCTGCGGGAACTTATTTAAAATGCAAATTTCCGGGCTCTGCTCAAGATTTTCTAGATCAGAATATTGAGGGGCCAGTTTAGGAATTTAGAATCCTTATCAAGTTCCCAAAGTAATTTTTATGTGCACTATGCAAAAGAGCCTCTGCAAATTCTAGACTACAAAAATCACTTACCATTCCATGAACATGCCCTGCTCTCCCATGCTTCTGTGCCTTTGTGTCACTCTCTCTGGTTGGGGTTTGCTCTCCAGCCCCGTCCCCTTCTTGTTCTTTAAGGTCTATGTATAACAACACTTTTATGTATCTTTTTCAGACATCTGGTTGCTCCTCTTACTCCAAGGGAGTTCACAGCACTCAGTTCTCTATACAGGATTTTTCTTTGTACTGTAACTATTTGTTCATTCATCTTTCTCCCTTTCTACACTGAATTTCTCAAGGGTAGGGACTATATTATCCATTCAACAAACACTTAAATACAGCCAGCTCTTGTCCATGCTGTGAGCATGGGGTTATAAAGAAGACCCACTGGTATCTTTTCTTAAGTGATGATAAAGCAATATGAAACACATAAGGAGTATGTTCTCAGGATATTAGAAGAAGCCCACCTAATGGAGGGCTGGTTTGGCAGAATACCAGGAAGGGTTTCCTAGAGGAGGAGACAACACCTAAGTCTTAAATAGCAAGTAGTATGGAGCTTCATGCATAGTGCCTAGAACAGAAGTTCTCAACCGCAGTTTGTTGAATAGATGAGTGAGTGACAAGCTACATCTCTACAGTACTCCAGTTTTACGGTTCTCTCAAAATCCAACAAAGTCCTTCCAAGAAGAACATTTCTCACCAAAACTTGTCTGCAAACATGGGCCTGCTATTGTGATCCCAATCAGGAGTCACTCAGGCCTCTTTTAAGCCCCAATTCAATCCCTCCGTGACCCTGTGCCACATTCTGGACACTGAAGACTGTGGGGTCACTGACTCACTTTGGCTCTTAGGAAAGTGTCTCTGAAGACATTATACATTCCTGGGAGTGCTATTTGTTGGGGCAATAATCCATTACTTGGCTGACAGATTACCTGAACCATCAGAAAAGGATTAGTACAAAGGACTGAACATCTTCTACACTTTCTAAATCCCCTCCTATGATATTTATATAATAAAATCTCATTAAATTGGACACAGCCCATTTGGGACATGTGTGGACTACTCTGCTCTGGCCTACACCCAAGTGAAATTTGTCATATTCCATAAAATAACTGTTTACAAGGTAAATTGAGAAGGTAAACATAATTATAGAAGATATATTTAACTCAATGTGGATTAACTTTGCATTAATTACAAGTAAATCATCTCATTCTGAACCTAAGCCCTGAAACTCATCACTTAGAAGCATTCTTTAGTTCTGATTCCTAATTATGCTTTAAATGTATTAAAAAGAGACTAAAAGGTATTATTTTTCAAAGTTCCTAGTCAACCAAATTAGCCTAGCCTGCCTTCTTGTTTTTTTTGCACTAGAGAAATTTCATTATACTGTTTCTGTGGAGAAATTTTGCAACTTTGTATTTTGTTATAAATTTAAAAGATTTCTTATACTATTTAAATGCTTACTCAAGTTTCAAAAACTTTTTATTAAGTATCTGCTGTGCACTAAAGACTCTGCTAGATGCTGAAGATTCAAAGAGGAATAACACACTCATAGTTCCAAAGGTGAGGATGCACTGAGCTTTGTGGGCATATCAAGAGAATAACACCAAGTAATTGCTTGAAAGAGTAAGAGAAGGTGTAATAGAAAATGGCATCTGAGCTAGGATTTTGCTCAGTAGAAAATAAGCGGTAGGTTTTCCAGGGAGCTGGACAGAATTGCAAAGAACAGGGTCTGGAAAATGTAGCACAGAGCTTAAGCTGATGAGATAGGTGGAAGAGCGGCTGGAGATGGAGTTGGAAAGCTAGGTTGTGAGAAGGCTGTTGATGCCATGCTAAGGAGTTTGGTCTACATCCTGAGGGCTCCGGGGAATCTACACAAGCAGAAGCCTTTCGTCTTAAGGCCCTGCCCCAAGCCTAGCCGTAGCACACAAAATCTGGCAAAATGGACATAGGAAGGAGCACGGTTCACAAGATGTGTTTCTTGGCTAAGCCAACCCTTGTGTTTGTTTTAAATTTTGATTCTATTTAATACTGAAATGATGACAAAAGATTCTCCAATAATCCCAACGTTTAAAAAATCATATAAAGAGTAAAAGTCTCCCTAATGACCTTCCTCCCATCCCTTTTTCCTATACAAACATATCCCTGTGTAGATATATTTATACTTTCCTTTCTCCAAAAATGGGGTCATGTGGTACATTTATTCATTCATTTAATTCAATTGAGTGTCTACACTATACCTTGCAGTATTCGAGTGACTGAGCATAAGGCACTGAGCAAGAGCTCATATTCTAGAAGGATGATATCAACAATAAGCATAAGAAATGAACAAGGTAATTTAAAATAAAGATAAGTGTTAGCACGACAATTAAAACACAAAAAGTACAATGTGATGGAAGAGACTGGGAGATTCTTGAGATTGGGAGGCCAGGAGTGGCTTCTCTGAGCGGGGGAGCATTTGAGTCAAGACTTGAATGATGCTAAGAAGGCCCAGGTCATGAGCTGGAGACCAAGCCTCTAAGGCCCAGGAAACAGCAAGTGCTAAGACCCTATGGTGTGAACAACCTTGTTACATGCCTGGGACAGGAAAGCCACCAGTGTGGTTGGAATACAGCGAGTGAGGGGGGTGGCTTGCAAGGGATGAGCCTGGAGAGGTGGGGGAGGACCAGTTTAGGGAGAGTGTCATAGTTCAAGATAAGAACTCAAAATTGTTTTTAACAATTTTAACAACTTAAAAATTGAAACTTATTTTATGTTTAAAATAAGCCATTGAGGGGTTCTAAGGACAAGATGTTTAGATTTTTGCTCTAAAAATATAACTGTGGCTGCTGTATGGAGAATAGATGGTAGACGGGCAAGGAGGAGGTAGCGAGAAGTTAAGAGATGATTAATTTATTACAAGTGAGATAAGACAGTTGCTTGGACAAAAGTAGTAGCAATGGAGATGGAGAAAAGTGAATTTATTGGGAAATGTTTTGGAGACACGGTGGACAGAACTTATTGATGGCCTAGACACGGCAGGTGAGAGAGAAGAATTAATCATGGGTCATTTAAAATTTTTGTGTTAACAATTAAGTCTATGATGGTGCCAATCTGAGGGCAGAGGGAGACCAAGAGTTCTGTTTTGGCCATGTCAAGCTGGAGATGCGTATTAGTTGCCTGAATGAAGAGGTCAGGTAGGAAGTCTGCAGATCTCTGGACACGTCAGGGATGAAGGTATAAATATGGTGTTCTTGGGGGTGAGTGAAATCACACAGGGGAGAGAATAGGTAAATAAAGGAAAAAAGAAAGAGGGCAAAGGATGGAGCCATGGGGTCTCTCAACATTTAAGGCCAATGGAGAAGAAGCTGCAGTAAAGGAGGGTAAGAAAGGACAGCCTTTAGAATCTTTAAGTGGCATTAGTCACTGATTTGCCTTTAAAATGTTAATAAATATTGCAACTCACTCTCCAAAAAGATGACACCAATTTACACTCTCATCATACACTTACAAACCTTCTAGTTTCTATGAATCCTCACCAGCCTTGCTTATGGACTTGGCACAGTGGTCAATCTTAATAAAATTAATAATAAAGTTTTTGGTAATTCGGTAAATGACACAGTATTTGATTGTTTTAAGTTGCATTTTCTTAATTACACGTTAATTTAAGCATCTTTTCTTATGTCTATTACCTATTTGCATCAATTGTCCCCTCTTTAGCCCACCATTTACCCTCAACCTGCTCCATTCCTGCCAGTTCCACTTGTGTCCTCTGATTCATTCTTTAAGTTATCCAGTTGGTACAGCTCACTTCCAACTTTGGCATCTCATTCTGGGGGTTTGAAACTCTAGCTCTGCAGTGGAATAATCTCAGAAACTATGAAGAATAGAGAGAGGAAGTATAGGCTCCTCCCTAGACCCCCTTAGTCAGACTCTCTGGAGGTGTATTGAGAACCACAGCCTTGGTGCTGCGCCTCCTGCCTAGGAATGGCTTCCTCTTCCAGTTCATAGAAGGCTCCTTCCCTCCTGACGAGGCATTGCTTTCATGTCTACTAAGCAGTTTAAAGGCAGATTTATCTCTAGAACACTCTCTCATGAAATGTAGCAATGGACAGTCTTGGGTTCGTATACCAGCATTCCAGGGCAAGATGAGATTCAAAATACTTAACAACCAATAATTCAATGTCACTGTCTTAGTTATCTAGTGCTGCTATAACAGAAATACCACAAATGGTTGGCTTTAACAAAGAAAAATTTATTCTCTCACAGTCTAGTAGACTAGAAATCCAAATTCAGGGTGTCAGGTCCAGGGTAAGGCTTTCTCTCTCTGTCAGCCATGGGGGAAGGTCCTTGTCATCAAGCTTCCCTTGGTCTAGGAGTTTCTCTGCACAGGAACCCTGGGTCCAAAGGATTTGCTCTGTTTCCAAGGCTGCTTTCGTGGTGGTATGAGTCCACATGTCTCTTTGCTGGCTTCTCTCTTTTATATCTCAAAATAGATTGGCTTAAAACACAACCTAATCTTGCAGATTGAGTCCTGCCTCATTAACATAACTGCTTGTAATCCTGCCTCATTAACATCATAGAGGTAGGATTTACAACACATAGGAAAGTCATATCAGATGACAAAATAGTGGACAACCACACAATACTGGGAATCATGGCCTAGCCAAGTTGATACATATTTTTTGGGGACACAATTCAATCCATAATATTCTACCCTTTGGTCCCCAAAAAGTCATGTCCTTGCCACATGTAAAACATATTCACTCCATCATATCCTAGCAAAAGTCTTAATTCAACTCCAGTCCAAAATCCAAAAATTTCTCTTCGTCTGTGAGATCTAGAATACAAGTTACCTGCTTCCAAAGTACAGTGGTGGAACAGGTACAAGGTAAACATTTCCATTACAAATTGGAGAAATTGGAGAGAAAGAAGGGATAACAGGCATCAAGTAAGTCAGCAGAACACATTACATTAGCCCTCAAGGCTTGAAAATAATCCTCTGTTCCCTGAGACCATTTAGACAATAGCCCTGCCCTCCAGACTCTAGGTATTGGCCACACTCTCCAGATTCTGAATGGAAACCCCTCAGCCCTGGGCTTCAGCTCTGCCTTCCAGGCTCACTGGAATGGCAACTCTGCTATCCCAGCTTTGGGCGGCCCCGTTCTAGTCCATCTGAGTGGCAACTCCACCCTTTGAGACTGAGGCAGCTCTACTTCCTATGTTCCTCATCTCTTCAGCTTCTGCTTCCTAGTTTCTTGGCCTCTTGGCCCCTCAGACCTCACTGCCTGCATCTGCCCTTCTTAGGCAGGTGTTCCAAAGCTCTTTAGCTCCACTGATAAGTGCCTGGAGGCACCCCACTCCTGGTATTAAATGTTGTAGGTTAGAGTCTCTAGAGAAGCAAAACCAGTAAAGCATACAAATATATATAGAGAGAGATTTATATCCAGGAAATGGCTCACACAGTTGTAGAGGCTGGAACATCCCAAGTCCAAGGGTTAGGATAGAGGTGTCTCCTGATTCACATAGCTGTAGAGGCTGGGGAACCCAAGATTGGCAAGTCAGAGATCAGGGCTCTTGCTCACAGGCTGCGAAGATCAGTGAATCCCAAGATCAGTAGGCAAGACTGCAGGTAAGCTGCTAGTTCAGGTTCTGAGAACAGGAGGTGAGATGAACAGGAGCCAGCTGCAGGACACAGAGCGAGCAAAAGCCCATGAGCCTTGCCAGAGAGTCCACTTACACTCTATGCAGGATGCAAGCCCAAGGAAACTCTCTTTCAACTGATTGGCTACTCAGGGTAGATTCCATCATGGAGGTGATCACATTATATCAAATCTCATCATGGAAGTGATCACAACATCATACGACTGCCAAACCGCTGAGAATTACGGCCCAGCCAAGTTGACACACAAACAACCACAATAGTCACCAACTAATCGTAATGGACATCAGGCTTAGCCCTAGAGCAGGATCCTACAGCCATCCTTGCAGTTCTTTGCTTCAACTCATTCATGCTGGATCACAGGGATGTGGCATGGGGAAGGAGTACACTTAGCTCAGGGCAGTAGCTGTTTACCAACAGAAATTCAATATCTTAACAACCAGTACAACTAAACTGGCTGAGCATCAGGCTGGCCTAAAAACCACCCCAAACTCTCAGCCCTAGAGGGTCACAGGGGAGATCTCTAAGTAAGATAGTGGCATGAAAAGTTTTTCTTTGAAATTTTTTTCTGTTTACCGAAGAAAAGCAAGTCATCATAGAAAAAGCAGGAAAAAAAGTGTTAAGAAGGAAATTAAAAGTTTCCATAATCCTATCAACCAGAGATTATTACTACTAACATTTCCAATGATTGCATTAACATTTTCCATATATTTTTACATAATTGAGGTTATATTGTATATTTATCTTTTATATAAATATTTTCAGTAACACAAACAACATTACCAATTCCAGTGGTGATCCCTGAAGGACTATTTCATTCCACATAATATTTGCTCTTATTAAAAAGAGAAAATCTGCCAATATTTTCAACTCAAGAAAAGGGATGAAAACAAGGTCCAGGTGTCTTGGGGATTCTTCTATCTTGGCCCATTGACCATTATCACTTACAGCTGACCACCCTGATGGGTCTTTATCCTGCCTCCCCATGCCAAGATGCCATCCTTCTGAGATTTCCTTATATCTACACTGGACTTTCTTTTTTCTATAAGGAATGCCACAAAATCATGGACATGGTATTGCCCACACGTGGGAAGAGTGACAATTGGTCTACTCCATGTCATGCTTTACATGACAACTACTCTGTGTGAGAAGCTGCAGTGTCTGTAAACATAGATGATGCCCACAAGGAAGGAATGGCAGGAGATGATTCAGGGGGAAAGAGCAGATGGAGTGAGAGTCAACACATCCAGCTTGGAATATTTAACCAGAATCTGAGCCAAGAAGATGGACACAGAGGAAGACACACAATATGCAATTCGGGAAGAGCCAACGGGATAAATCCTAATGCATCAGGCAAAGGAAACAATGTTTTCTATCCATCTTGGGAAACATAATTGCCTAATTTGATAATTGTTTACTTATTAGAATAAATAATAACAAGGACAGCGTTCTCTTAGAAGGGTATAAAAGGAAACACTGGGCAAAGAGACTTCTAGATTCAAGAAATTCACTCTCCTGGAAACATACCCCTAACCTCTACCCTCTGACACCATGGTCAACTCCTGTTGTGGCTCCGTCTGCTCTGACCAGGGCTGTAGCCAAGACCTCTGCCAGGAGACCTGCTGCCGCCCCAGCTGCTGCTGGACCATCTGCTGCAGGACCGCCTGCTGCCGCCCCAGCTGCTGTGTGTCCAGCTGCAGCCGCCCCAGCTGCTGTGTGACCAGTTGTTGCAGGCCCCAGTGCTGCCAATTGGTGTGTTGCCAGCCCACCTGCTGCTGCCCCAGCTGCTGTGTGTCCAGCTGCTGCAGGCCCCAGTGCTGCCAGTCTGGATGTTGCCAGCCCACCTGCTGCAGGCCGGTCTGCTGTGTGTCCAGTTGTTGCCGCCCCAGCTGCTGTAGGCGCAGCTGCTGTGTTTCCAGTTGTTGCCATCCCAGTTGCTGTGGTTCCAGCTGTTGCCACCCCTCCTGTTGCCAAACCACTTGCTGTTGAATAACCTGCTACCGTCCCAGTTGCTGTGGTGGTTCTTGCCGTTGAGTGGCCTGCCCTAGACCCATGAACTATTTCTCAGTTTCCTTGCTCCCATCCTCAGTCCAGGCACACAGCATCTATGCAACAGAACATGTGGCACTTCTTGATGCCGTAAACTTACAAACAGGACCACAAGACTGATTTGGAAATGCCTGGTCTCTATATTATTGCCCCCTTTATTCTCTTTTGTAGAAATATCTTACTATTAGTGAATCAGAATTTACAGTCAGATACTGTATCAATTTATTTTAGAATTCCCAATTCTGATACAAAATATGTCTTCAAATATTCCCTTTCTGTTTTTTCTTCCTAATGTTTTTCTCATGTAGAAATACTTGATGTTCCCCAATAAAACGTTTTAGCATTCAAAGGCACTGGAGTTTCTCATCTCTCATTATTTGTTGTCGTTGAAATATTCTACACATATCATTGTCTTTTCTTTTCTTTTTTTTCCTGTACCACATAGAAGCACATGTTCTCAGGGGAATTTACAATAGAAAAATTAAATTGGCACTCATTAATAAGATTTCATCCAGGCCAGAATTCAGTCTGACAGAAGAAATAAGAAAAGGTTTAAAGGGTTTTGGATCTAAAATGTGTAACATGAGAGCTGTAGATTGCAGATCCTACCAAAAATAAATAAATAAATAAATAAAATCCTTAATATACTGTCTGTAATCCATGAATTGTTTTAAACCAATTTGTATGGAAGCAGCACAGTATCGAGAAAAGCCCATGGACTTTGGAGTTGGACAGAGTTAGATCTGTATTCTGACTCTCCTGCATACCAACTGCAATCTTGGACACGTTAAACTGTTGACCTAGAATTGCTTTTCACTAAAGGATCACAATACCCATCTATTAACGTTGTCATAAAGATTCAGTGAGATAAAGGTACATGTAGATAAATAAAAGCCTACTCCCTTTCACCTTCAATTAGACTCATTTGTATTTTTTTTTTAACTTTTTATTTTGAAATTATTATAGATTCAAAGGAAGTTTTAACCAATGGTAACATCTTCCGTTAACTATAAAACCAAAAACCAAACCCGTTGCCTTGAATTGATTCCGACTCATAGTGACTCTTTAGGACAGAGTTAGAACTGCTCCATAGGGTTTCCAAGCCTGTAATCTTTGCGAAAGCAGACTGCCACATCTTTCTCCAGTGAGAGCAGCCGGTGGGTTCAAACTGCGGACCTTTGGTTAGCACCTGAGTGCTTAATCGTAGCGCATATCAAAACCCAGAAATAGACATTGGTACAACTCACAGTGCTTCTGCAGATTTCACCAGTTTTGGATGCACTCATTTGTGTGTGTGTGTGTGTGTGTGTGTGTGTGCGTGTGTGTTTAGAGTTCTCAGGGGCAGATTACCCAATAAGCAAGGTAAGCATGGGCTTACTCATGTTTACTTGCTAATCTGTAGTGAACAATTTCAAAGATGTGGTAAAAAACATGTGAAACTTCACTATAGATTAGGAAGTAGGCACAAGTAAGCCTGTGCTTACCTTGCTTACTGGGTCCTCCATCCCTGTCAGAGATTGTAAATTTGGAAAAAAGCTTTTATTCTGTAGGAAGGTGCTGTGGGGTTGGGAGAGAAACAGATGCTAGCCATATCTAGAAGCAGAATCATTGATGCAGTGAAAAATGTGAAATTGTTCACTACAGATTAGTAAGTAAGCACAAGTAAGCCTGTGCTTACCTTGCTTATTGAGTAATCCAACTCTGGTAGTTCTGTGCTACTGCATATGTGTAGATTTATGTAACCACCATCATAATCAAGATACAGAACTGCTCCATCTCCATAAAGCTCCCTTGGGGTACCTTTTTATAGCCACCCCATTGCCTCCCGCTCCTCATTCCTAACCCCTGGCTATGACTAATCTGTTCTCCACCTCGATAATTTTGTTCTTTCAAGAATAGTACATAAATGGGACCATAGAGTATATCATCTTTTTGTGCTTGGCTTTTTTGTCTCAGCATAATTATCTTGAGATCTATCCAAATTGTGGCTTGTATCAATGGTGTATTCCATTTTATGACTGGGTAGTATTCCATGGTATGGATGTACCACAGTCTGGTTGGTTTAACTGTTCACCTGTTAAAAGACATTTGAACTGTTTAAAATTTGGATTTTTAAAAAAAATTACTGAGGGTTCTTACTTGTGGGTGAACACTGCCACTTTTCAGTTGCAAGACATGCTAATTCTAGTATTATTGGATTAGGTGAATACGTCTTTATTTTCTTTATCCCTTGGTCATTAAGACTTTTTAAAACTCTCATCATAAACCTATCTATGTTCTTCTCCGACTGAAGCATTCTAATATTTTAGGCTTTATTTGCAAGAGAATAACTTTTCCTCTGGGAATCTCAGTATCACTTTTTTGATAATGATTAGTTTATATCTTAGTTAAATTTTGAAAAGCAGACAAGCATGAAATAGACAGAATAGGTTGCTAGAAGTATAAAAACACAGATTGTGCTTATGTCTATAGACACCCTAATTATGCCTGACATTTAGGGGGTTTTGATGGATTTAGCTCTACCCTGAGACCATAATCATAAGGAAAAATAATTTTCCAAGGGTTCTGTATCACTTTCCAATGTCATTATTTATCTCAGATAGAAGTATTTGTTGGGAATTTGTGGCTGGGTATTTTATTTTGAACTGTATTTTTTTTTTGGCTGAGCACAAAGGGACATTTGTTATGTATTATAAAAGTGAATAGTCTTAAAAATACTATTTTACATCACTAAATCTGATGACAATTATAAATTCTAAAAGATAAACATGAACGTGATAGGAGGAAGAGAGGAGAACGATGAGCGTTCAAATAAAAGGGAATTAAAAAATAGTCATACCTTTATAGATTTGTAGAACGGAAAATCATGGTAGAGATACTTTAACCAGTGATTTTTTTTCAGTGTGGTATGCCACTGAATAGAATTCAGAAATAGACTTAAAAGCCTATGGGAGTTAATTATAAGATGAAAGTGGCAGTGTAAAATCAGTATAAAAACAAAGGATTATTTAACAAATGGTATAGGGCAGCTGCAGTTTGGACTTCTTCCTTCAGTACCATCGCTTCTTGATCATATGCTACCTCCTGAAACAGTTGAACATCAATCAATTTTTTGGTACAGTGACTCTGTGTATTCCTTCCATCTTCTTTTGATGCTTTCTGCATTGTTCAATATTTTGCCTGTGTGATCCTTCAATATTGCAACTCGAGGCTTGAATTTTTTCTTCAGTTCTCTCAGCTTAAGAAATGCCAAACATATTCTTCCTTTCTGGTTTTCTAATTCCAGGTCTTTGCACATATCATTATAATGCTTTACTTTGTCTTCTTGAGCCACCTTTTGAAATCTTCTGTTCAGCTCTTTTACTTCATCATTTCTTCACTTTAGGTGCTCTATGTTCAAGAGCAAGATTCAGAGTCTCTTCTGACATCCATTTCAGTCTTTTCCTTCTTTTCTTTCTTTTTAATGATATTTCACTTTCTTCGTTTATGATGTCCTTGATACTCTAAAGGTATTGGAGAAAAACAAGGCTCAAGGAATTGACAGAATACCAACTGAGATGCTTCAACAAACAGATGCGACATTGGAAGCACTCACTCAACTATGCCAGGAAATCTGGAAGGCAGTTACCTGAGCAACCAACTGGAAGAGATCCATATTTGTGCCCATTATAAAGAAAGGTAACACAATGGAATGCAGAAATTATCAAACAATATCATTAATATCATATGCAAGCAAAATTTTGCTGAAGATAATTCAAAAATAGCTATAGTCACACATCAGCAGGGTACTTCCAGAAATTCAAGCCAGATTCAGAAGAGGACGTGGAATGAGGGATATCATTGCTGATGTTAGTTGGATCTTGGCAGAAAGCAGAGAACACCAGAAAGATATTTACCTGTGTTTTAGTCACTACGCAAAGCATTTGACTGTGTGGATCATAACAAATTACGGATAACGTTGTGAAGAATAGGAACTCTAGAACACTTAATTGTGCTCCAGGGTTGTATCCTTTCACCATACTTACTCCATCTGTACGCTGAGCAAATAATCTGAGAAGCTGGACTATATGAAGAAGAACAGGGCATCAGGATTGGAGGGAGACTCATTAACAACCTGCATTATGCAGATGACACAACCTTGCTTGCTGAAAGTGAAGAGGACTTGAAGCACTTACTGATGAAGATCAAAGACCAGAGCCTTCAGTATGGATTACAACTCAAAATAAAGAAAACAAAAGTCCTCACAACTGGATCAATAAATAACATCATGATAAATGGAGAAAAGATTGAAGTTGTCAAGGATTTTATTTAACTTGGATCCACAATCAACACCCATGGAAGCAGCAGTAAAGAAATCAAACGATGTGTTGCATTGGGCAAATCTGCTTCAAAAGATCTCTTTAAAGTGTTAGAAAGCAAAGATGTCACTTTGAGGACTAACGTGCACCTGACCGAAGCCATGGTACTTTTAGTCGCCTCATACGCATGCAAAAACTGGACAATGAAAAGGGAAGACTGACAAAGAATTGATGCATTAGAATTATGGTGATGGTGAAGAATATTGAATATACCATGGACTGCCAGAAGAATGAACAAATCTGTCTTGGAGGAAGTACAATCAGAATGATCCTTAGAAGTGAGGATGGTGAGACTTTGTTTTGCTTACTTTGGACACATTATCAGGAGAAACCAATGCCTGGAGAAGGACATAATGCTTGGGAAAGTAGACGGTGAGTGAAAAAGAGGAAGAACCTCAACTAGATGGATTGACACAGTGGCTGCAACAATGGGCTCAAACATACCTACCATTATTAGGATGGCACAGGACCAGGCAGTATTTCACTCTGTTATACATGGGGTCGCTATGAGTCAGAACTGACTCGATGGCACTTAATAACAGCACAACACAGGGCAGCTACGTAACTTCTGGAATAAAGAGAGAGAGGAAGGAAGAGAGAGAGAATACTTCATTCACTAAACCAAAATAAATTTCAGCTGGATGAAAAACTCAGTATAAAAATGAAACTGTTAAAGTACTAGAAATCATGAGGAATTTCTAAACACAATCTTAAACTTACTTTATGCATGACACACACAGAAATCATGAAGGGGAAAAATAATTAATATAAATAAAACTGATCTCTACTAAGTCCATTAGTAGGCATCATACAATAGGGATCATCGGGACACCATTCTTTTCCCCAAATACAATATCTTATGGAAATGTTATAGTTGTTCTCAGATTCCATTATGGGGCTCACTAGGTCTTTGCCCCACAACTTGGAAACACTTTTGTTCCCTTATCTCCCTGTGATGGAGAAAGAGGCTCAGTAATTTAAAAAAAAAAAAAGCTGTATCCAGATTCATCAGAACCAGCATACAACGCAGGGTCAGAGTGCTAGCCAAATCTCCAAGCAGAGGTCCAATTAGGAGCCCACCTTGCTGTCATTCTGGTTGTGTACACCTGAAAATCAGGGCTAGGGGAGGAGGAGAAACTGTCTATGAATAAAAGAACATCATAAGGAATTCAGTTTATTTGACTTCTAAGTGTTTCAGGGCAAAAAGGGATCTCCAAAGTCATTTCATTAAATAGCCTCCATCTAGTTCTTGAATCTTCATTTGCTACACCAGCTTACACTTCAGCCACTCCACTGACTCTCTATGGAGGCGGTCCATTCCATAAAAGATCTTCTCCATGGTGAGTCAAAGTTTCTCTCTGTGAACCACCCACTTATCCTGTTTCAGCCCATTGCAGCATGTGGGGCACGTCAAATCCCACACACACAGTCCCTCCATGCTGTACTGCATTTTTTTGCTCTTCTTTAGTCTAAATTTCCAAGATTTTTTCACCTGTTGCTTATTGATCACAATATCACCATCACGTCAACTTTACCTTTAATATAAAATTTATCTCTACTCTTTTTATATGGCCTGGAATTAAATGCATTTATCAGATGTTTCTGAATGCTCAGGGAGGAGCAGGACTGTCTCCTCCTCCTCCTTTGTAAATACCATACATCCATTAATTCATCCATGTTTGCATTCAGGGTTTGTCGGTAGTAAGTGGTTGGCAATAAGTGTGGACTTATACCAAGGTTACTATCGTGTGAAACACCTGTTTCCATTACAAACTGCTTCAGTCTCTTCTCACAGATGTGCAGTAGTTGTTTCTAGACCAGCAATTCTTAATTTCTTTTTCTACCCAGTCCCAGGAATAATATGGCTCATTTCCTGATAATATTATACCCGGGGAAGCACTGTGGAGGCTGGACACAACCTTAGGTGTGTGAGTAGTTAAGACAAATTCTCCCAAGAAATTTAGATGTATTTACTCCTCCCCAGTGTCATGCAGGGCCCTGGTGGCACAGTGGTTAAGCATTTTGCTGCTAACCAAAAGGCTGGCAGTTTGAATCCACCAGCTGCTCCTTGGAAACCCTATGGGGCAGTTCTACTCTGTCCTGTATGGTCACTTTGAGTCGGAATCGACTCTACGGCAATGGGTTTTGTTTAATGCCACGCACCATGCTGCGTTAATAACCACTTTTTTAGGTCTAAGAGTGGCTCTGACATTTCATGTTGTTAGATTTAATCTCTTTCACAAGGATGTCTAAACCATTTGGAACCGTGATTCTGCCATTCAGCATACTCACTTTCCCTCAACTTCATATCCTCCAGATATTTTGATGAACACATTTTATGGAAAGACTCTCAGCAAAATTGAGATGCCCATGATTGAATTTAGAGAGACCAGCCCAAGTTAGCCTAAGACTGAAGACATCCTAAAGTGGAAAATGACAAACATATTTGGAATAATACAACACAAAGACAGAATTTTCCCGTAAGCAAGCGTCCTCTTCCTTCCCTTGGTTTCCTCAATCCACAAGAAACACACACACGCATATCCTGGCAGCACCTCTCGTTTTCTGAAACACTAGTCATTTGTTTGAGCATTTTTGCACACTTTAAACTTCTCCTTCATTCCTACTATGAAAAAAAAAAAGATTGATGCCCTTTAATCTAGATGTCTCTTTTCTCTCTCCTTTCTTGAATATAAAAACCTAGAGCGTGCAATCTGATCAAGTAATGAAGTAATTGAAGCAGAAGGGTGTAGGGCATCTTCAGAGCCCAGCAATTCAACAGAGATAGCAAGATGGTCAGGTGTGAATTAGAGTTAAGAGGCAAGGACACTGGGCAAGCTAAACTTGGGCTGGCAAGCAAAACTTGGAAGCAGTGGATATGAATCAATATGCCCTGTTAAAACCTGAAGGACTGTAAGCCAGAGTCAGAAGGAAAATCAGCCTCACGGAGCAGGGAGTTGAGGGACCTGGACCTTATAGAGAGCTGCTAGCTATCTCTGTAGCCAACTTTCCCTAAGAGGTCCTAAAACTGAGTTTTGTTTCTGGAGAAAAAGAAACAACAAAATTTTATGACTTAGTTTTCCTGTTTAAAACAGTTCCCATCAAAAGTCTAAAAAAAGGTTATGATTCACAGTGGGAGGGGGTCTGTCCTAAATAATCTTCTGATTCACATGCCAGTGATCCTGTTTCACAGGTAATACATTCAAATCTTCTTTGCCCCCCTGACCCAGTGCATGAGCTATCAGATTAAAACATAGTTTTATCCTCCAGATCACCAAAAAGAATTGTGGACCTATAAGAATCATTGTCACCCAAGTATAGACATGATGTGTTATGCAAAATAAGACTGACACATATAGAGACAGAATGTCATGTGACAGCTCTCTTGGAGGAAGCTGAACCAAGAAAGGCACATAAGAGGTGAATGAGGAAGAGGGGACGGGATGAATCCTCACACATCAGGGAAAGGAAACAATGTTTTCCATCCATCTTGAAAAATTTAACCAGGAAAACAAACTTGCCTGATTTGATAATTGCCTATTTACTAGGACAAACAGTAACAAGGAAGAGAACTACACTTGATGGCAGCAGGCCCTTGGCAGGATATAAAAGGTGGCATGGAGTAAGGAGACGCCCAAACTCAAGAAATTCACTCACCTGGAAACACTCCCAGAAGCTCCACCCTCTGACACCATGGTCAACTCCTGTTGTGGCTCCGTCTGCTCTGACCAGGGCTGTGGCCAAGACCTCTGCCAGGAGACCTGCTGCCACCCCATCTATTGCCAGACCACCTGCCGCAGGACTGCCTGCTGCCGCCCCAGCTGCTCTGTGTCCAGCTGCTGCCACCCCAGCTGCTCTGTGTCCAGCTGCTGCCACCCCAGCTGCTGTGTGTCCAGCTGCTGCAGGCCACAGCACTGCCAGACCACCTGCTGCAGGACCACCTGCTGCCGCCCCAGCTGCTGTGTGTCCAGCTGTTGCAGGCCCCAGTGTTGCCGGTCTGTGTGCTGCCAGCCCACCGGCTGCCACCCCAGCTGCTGCATCTCCAGCTGCTGCCGCCCCCGCTGCCGCCTCCGCCCAGTCTGTGGCCAAGTCTCCTGCACCACCACCTGCTATCGCCCAACCTGTGTCATCTCCACCTGTCCTCGCCCCACCTGCTGCGCCTCCTCTTGCTGCTGAGGTCTCCACCCCGGACCCATCTCTTCCTCCACCTCTCTTCCCACATATGTAGACCCTCCTGTGATGCTGATCTTTAGGACACATGGAGTGGGTTTGATGTTGCTCAGCAAGTTGTGTCTCATGATTTTAATGGGCTAACCACAGGCCATTGACTCTGTGAGCACATTTGAGCCTCAGTCCAAATCCTTTTCCTTGTGGACCTCTCCCTTACATTCAAACGTGAATTTCTTATGATATACCAACTATTGAATTGACAAATTCTCCACAAATTCTCTTTTTTAAGTTTTGGGCAACAGGCCATCAAGCTCAAGAAGTTGAAGATTAGTTTCAGTACTTCTACATCACAGATTTTTAGTCTTTTCTCTTGGTTGTCCAATGAAGTTTCTGTTTTATAATTCCTGCTCCCCAAATACATCACCTCTCTATGCCAGAATAAACTATTACTTTCCTGAATAGAAAATCCAGTGTGATTGTGCTCTTCTTTAAGATTTGATATTCAGTCTGGACAATTGTAGGATGGACAAGATAGCTTTGTCAATTTTACAACAGAGACTAAGTCACATTGGTCACAGCCTAGTTTTCATGAGCAGTCTCTTTAGTTGTTAACAAAATTGAAATTCTCAGGAGTGCATGGACAAAAAGTAGAAAAAAATTTTTTGTAAAGACTGTGAACAATTAATGTTCTATGACACAACATCTTTCTGATATATATGTGAAAGTATAAGGATAATGGAATTGCATGTCAGAAGCTAGAGGTGTTGATTTGGAAAACCATAATGAAAGGCTGAGAGTGATAAATCAGAATGAAAGGATAGATTTGAAAGCCAGGTTTTAATGGTAGCATATAAGTAGACCCTCATCTCCTGCATCCACAAGGCAGATAAAACTGAGGACCAAGCCGAGGACTTAATCATAGGAGTCATGGAGCTCCAGAGGTGGTAGTTCTATCACTCTAATCAGTTCTGTCACGCCAAGGTCAGGTCTCTAATTGGGAAAGAATGGGACCCTGAAATATGGGTTGGGGACATATGAGTTAACGTATTTGAAGATCTTGAATTCCCATTCAATCCTTCCTATTGAAGTCTAGTGCTATCTCCTTTCTTGAAGATGATGCAGAGGCCTCAGTCTTAAAAGACAACACAGCCTCCCATCTGCATCTCCTTCTTCCTCTCTTCTTTGCCACAGGCTAGTAACTAAAGCTAAATTACAACACAACTCACCCAGAGAACGGCTGAAACTGCTAATGGGAGACTATATCTCAAAGGATCTGCAGGACCCAAAGACTTTTTAAATTTTTATTTATTTTGTTGTTGAAGTTGAGAATATACATAGCAAAATATACGCAAATTCAACAGTTTCTACGTGTACAATTCAGTGACATTGATTACATTGTTCAAGTTGTGCAACCATTCTCACACTGCTTTTCTGAGTTGTTCTCCCCCATTGGCATAAACTCACTGCCTTCTAAGCTTCCTATCTAATCTTTTGAGTTGCTGTTGTCAATCTGATCCCATATAGATAGATCTTGAAAGAGCACAATGCTCAAAGCAGACATTTTTTTTTACTAGTTAAGCTAAACTATTGTTTATTTTTAAGAAGACTTCAGGGGATATTTTCACTTTAGGGTTTAAAGATTATCTCAGGGCAATAGTTTCAGGGGTTCATCCAGCCTCCATGGCTCCAGACAGTCTGGAGTACATGAGAATTTGAAATTCTGTTCTGCATTTTCTTCATTTGTCAAAGACCATTTCATAGGTAACGAAGTGAGCTTCTTCAGAAGGCACATATTGTCTGATTATCCCCCTTTTTGTGATATTAGTAGCTCCTGATGATCATTTCCTTTGGAGTGGAATGGCTATATCATATAGTAGGTGTATGTTTAACTCTTTAAGAAACCTGTCAAAACTGGACTAAACCAAAGCTAAGAAGTTTCCTGAATACAATCCAACACTTTGAGGGACAGAGTAGCAGGGGCAGGGGTCTGGGGACCATGCTTTCAGGGGACATCTAGGTCAATTGGCATAACAAATCTTAAGAAAATGTTCTGCATCCTACTTTGGTGAGTGGTGTCTGGGGTCTTAAAAGCTTACAAGCGGCCATCTAAGATGCATCAATTGGTCCCAACTACCTGGAGTAAAGGAGCATGAAGAATACCAAAGACACATGGAAAGTATTAGCCCAAGAGATAGAAAGAGTCACATAACCAGAGATTTCATCAGCCTGAGACCAGAAGAACTAGATGGTGCTCGGCTACCACCAATGACTGCCTGACAGGGAAACAACAGAGTCCTGATGGAGCAAGAGAAAGATGGGGTGCAGAACTCAAATTCTAGTAAAAATATCAGACTTAACGGTCTGACTGAGACTGGTGGAACCCCGAAAAGCATGGCCTCCAGACTCTCTGTCAGCCCAGAACTAAAACAATTTCTGAGGCCAACTCTTCAGACAAAGATTGGACTGGACTGTGGGACATAAAATGATACTCATGAAGAGAGTGCTTCTTAGCTCAAGAAGATATATGAGACTAAATGGTCAGCTTCTGCCCAGAGGTGAGATGAGAAGGCAGAGAGGGTCAGGAGCTGGTTGAATGGACATGGGGAATCAGGGGTGGAAAGGAGGGGTATGCTGTCACAGTATGGGGAGAGCAATTAGGGTCACATAACAACGTATGTATAAATTTTTGTATGAGAGACTAACTTGAAATGTAAACTTTCACTTAAACTACAAGTATAAACAAAAAAAAAAAAGAAACCTGTCAAACTGTTTTACAAGATGTTTGTACCATTTTATGTTCCCAACTTGTATGAGAGTTCCAATGGCTTCATATCATCACCAACACTTGATATGGTCCGTCTTTTTAAATTTTAACCATTCTAGAGGGTGTATAGTGTCATCCAATTGTGGTTTTAATTTGCATTCTCCTAATTTTCTTTGGTGAAGTGTTGATTCAAATCCTTTGCCCTTTTTGGGGGGTGGGGAGGGGGGCGGTCGGGTTGTTTGTCTTTTTATTATTGAGTGAAAAGAGTACTTTGTATATTCTATATATAAAGCCTTTGTCAAATACATGTTCTGTAAATATTTTTAGAAGTCAGTGGCTTACCTTTTTAAAATTTAAATTTTGATGGAGTCCAATTAACTGATTGTTCTGGGATACAGTTAAGTTATTTAACAGTTGGGTCCTTTCTAGGCTTGCTTTTAAGCATTGTTAGGCAGGACCAGAGCAGCTTTTAGTCTAGCCTAGGGCAAAAATGTGTCCCACTCCTGAGGCAATACTCTTCTGAGTATTTTTTACCAATGACCAATGAATTACAAGGTTTTCAACTCTAGCTTGTGGGAACATAAACTATTTCTGGCCCTGTGTGAGCTCCAAGGATTATTCTCTCTTCTATTTATTGGTGGTGGTGGGAAAAAAGACATCTTTTTTCCCTGTCCTTGGGTAGCTTCTTTACATGTTGCACTGATCAGTGCTCAGACTAAGACTCGAGGTGGGCCTTCTGCAGATCTCAGGAGCTCTTGTGCAGCTCTCACCTCTCTGGTATTCTGCCCTATGAATTCTAGCTTCCTTGGTTTCTCCTACTCCCAGCTCCATTTCCTCAAGTTAGGGAGATTACAGGCTCTTCAAGCAATAAACTGAGGCAATACATTTGTTTCCTCTGTTTAATACATAAGAATCCTGCCCTGAGTGGCAGACAATGTCTAATAACCATGTTTCACACCTTCTGTTGGGTTTTTCAGTTGTTTCCGGCAGGGGGATAAATCCACTTCCTGCTCCTCCATTTTGGCTGAAAGCAGATGTATTTTCTTCCTATTTTCTCTTCTCGTCTTTCTCTATTCTTTCATTATTTTTTTAATGTAAACAAATACAGTTTTTATATTTATATCTCAAATATAAATTTAGACAAATTTTAGAACACTCTACACACTTTTCTCTACCATGCTTTGTCATCTCTTAATAGTATATCCTGGAAATATGTATACTATATTAATAATATATTACAGTAGTATATAATGATATTTCTTATTCTTTTTTTACAGCTGAATAGTACTCCATTATGGGAACGCACCATAGTTTATCCACCAGTACCCCACTGAAGGCTATCTGGATTGTGTCCACTTTTTTGTTGATTTATTTGTTTGTTTGTTTTGTTTTTTTATTTAACAGATAGCATTCCTACGAACAACTACGTGCAATATATTTTCATATTTTTGCCTGAGTATCTTTTGGATAATTCATAGAATTGGGATAGCTGGGTCAAAGAATAATGCTGCTGGATATTGTCAAATCCTCACCAGAAAAGTATGAGCATGCCTATTTCCCCACAGTCTCATCATCAGAGAATGTTGTCAAAGTCTGAATGTTTGACAATCTAACAGGTAAGGAGAGAAATTTCATTTACCTGATTATGAATGTGATTGAGCATCTTCATACAGTGAGGAAATATTTCATTTTATTTTTTTTTATCAGGCTGTTGCTCTTTTTTCTAATATATTTTTAGGAAGTGCTTTATGTATTAGGGGGCCCTGGTGGCACAGTGGTTTAGATCC